AGAAGACATAGATTAAAGAGTACAGTAGTATAGGAAAAGGATGGAAACACTGAATAAAGAATATAGAAAAGATGTAAAAGGCAAATATAGAAAAGAAACAGAATTCAAAGAGATATCCAAGAAATAAAAAATTCTATTGAAAGCTGCTGAAACCATTTGAGTGACACTGAGGATAGAATTTCAGAACCTGAGAACAGGATTGCAGCTAGCAATCATGAAAAGTAAGAACTTTTAAAAATAACAAGGCAACATGAAATGACAATTTTACAGCTTCAAGATGATGCCAAGAGAAACAATATTATAGTGATAAGCATCAGTAAGATTCAGGGGTAAATGTAAATGACAGGAAAACTGTTCACAGAAATAATACCAGAAAATTTCCCAAACATGGGGAAAGAATCTGATATGCAGATAAGTGAAGCACATATAACACCAATCATAACCAAAATAAATCTACACCCAGACAGATAATAATTAACATCCCAGGCATGTAGCATAAAAATAGAATACTAAAAGCTGTTAGAAAAAAGACACAACTCACCTATCAAGGAAAGCCCATTAGAATCATGATGGAAAGTACTTCAAAGAATTAACAACTGAGATTTCATCCTATTAAAAAGCTTTTGCACTTCAAAAGAAATCAACAACAAAGTGAAAAGAAAACCCACTGGATGGGAAAGAGTTTTATCCAGCAGCCCCTCAGACAGAGGACTTATATGCAGAACATATAAAGAATTGAAAAACATCAAATCCCACAAATTCAAAGACCCACTCGAAAAATGGGCATCTGAGATGAACATGCATTTCTCAGACAGAGGTATAAAAATGGTACACAAATGCATGACTAAATATTCACCATCACTGCTCATTCAAGAATGCAAATTAAAACAACCTTGAGATTCCATCTTATTTCAGAAAGAATGGCTGCCATGAAGAAATCAACCAATTACAAATGATGGTGGGGATGTGGAGCAAAAGGAACAGTTTTCCACTGCTGTAAACTGCTGCAGCCACTTTGGAAATCAGTATAGAGCTTCTTCAAAAAACTAAGATTGGAAGTTCCATTCAATCCAGCTATTCCTCTCCTGATTATTTTCCCAGAAAAATTGAAAAGTCATGTCATAGTGATATATGTGCACTCATGTTCATTGCAGCACAATTTGTGATAGCTAAATCTTGGAAACAACCAAAATGCCCATCTACCAGAGTGAATGAAAAGGATGTGGTACTTTTATACAATGGGGTATTACTCAACTATAAAAAGGTTAATCTTGAGGTTTTTATAGGTAAATGGAGGCAACTTGAGACTATTCTTATAAGTGAAATAAATGAGACTCACATTTGTAAATATTGTATTGTTTCCCTAGTGTAAAAAATAATAATAATAAACTGAAAGAGTAATAAGACCCAAAATATACAATAGGCATTGTAAATAATGAAAGGGAAAGTAATTGATCAAAAGGAAAGAACAACTTTTAGGTATACACGTATAACTGTATGTATGTTTATGTACATATGTATGTATGTTTATGTGTGTAAGATAGATGACCATACTACTAATTCTTCATCAGAAAGAATAGTTTGTGCTGTCATAGTTTGATTGTTCATTTTTTATGCTTAGATTTTGTAACCAACTACTACTTCTATGACAATATGTAATATATTAACCAGTGTTGATTTCTTACTGTTAATTTTTTGAAATTCTGTATTGTTTCTATCCTTTTTTATGTTTTGCTTTTTAAAAATAAAAAAGACAAAAAGAAAATATGTTGTTCCAAGTAACCTGTAATGACCCTTTGTACTTTTATGTTATCTGTTGCAATGTTGCTCTTTTCCTTTCTGTATTTACTTATTTGAATCTTCTCTTTCCACTTCTTAACTTACTAAAACATTTGATATTTTATTTTTATTTCAAACTAGCTCTTGATTTCACCAATCTTGGGTAAATTTTCTTTTAGTTTCCATTTAATTTACTTACTTTTAATTTCATTATCTATTTTTCTGCTAACTTTGGTTTGATCTGTTCTTGTTCCTTGAATGCAGTTCTGGGTTTTTTGAGATATTTCTCAGTGTTTATGCTGCTCCTCTAATGCCTTTGTTTCACTACAGTTCTAGAGAAAATTTCTGGGCTCAAAGTGATGGGAGTCAGGGGAATGGCTCCTATAAGCTTGCTGCTCTATCAGAATCTTGGAGAACAGGAATGAAAGCGACAATTAACATCTGTCCACAGTTGCTATGGATCATACTATACGTACTACCTATTTTCGATATTTTATTAAACACTATTAACCTCAAGAGACAGCTATTGTCTCTACACAGATGAGAAAAGTAAGACCTGGAGAAGTTATATACTTACTCCACGTCAGACAGATAAAGAAGGTAGCTCTAGAATCCAAACTCATAATGTTGGGGAAAATAGAAAAAATACTCAAGGTTAACTGCTTGTGATCTTTCTCTATTCTGGAAAAGTTTCCAGATTACTGATTGCTCATGTTAGTGTAGTGTACACATGCTTATAAATTTACATACATGAACATGTGTGACTAATGATAATTAGTATAGGAGAAAATTAAATGAATCCCCGAAAGGCAAAATACAATCTTATGTTAAGATGCTGACTGTCCATCAACTGAGGAATATATAAAGAAGTTGTGGTATTTTTATACAATGGAGTAATACTCAGGTATAAAGAATGATCACATTGAGATATTTGTAAATAAATAGCTTGAGACCATACTCATATGCAAAATAAATCAAACTCACATGTATAAATATGGAATAGGTTCCCTAGTGTAAGAAATGGTAAGAATACATAAAAGTATGTGGTAATCAGGATTCCCCATTATATTGTTTGGAAGCCTTATAATGTTTTCATTCATTAATTGGAATGATTTTATTCTGGGGTGTTTGATTTTATTGTCTGTGATGATATGAACAGTTATTTTGAAGAAAAGAAGGCATTATAATAGCTAGTGTTGTTTTGAAGTCCCATCAAGCTTTTGTTTTTCTGCCTCCCTCAGTTTTATCATGTTGTGTCTTATTGGATTTTATTATATGTGATAGTATAAACAAAAATTTTAATAGACAAGGAGATAATATAGAAACCATTGTTCATTTTCTGTTAGTTGGTTCTAAATACCCTGTAATACTTTTACCCTTTTGAATGGTTTTACACTGTCTTGTTATGTTTGATACTACAGTATATGAAGGTATATTCAAATATTTCAAGGAAAGAGACACTATTGTTATGTTGGGTTTTCCTGTGGTGAAACACTATGTTGTTTAAATTGTTCTGTTCTGACCTGTGTTGTTATATCCTCTTCATCTTAATCTCCTCATTTATATATAAATATATTTTTAAATAAAAAATTAAATAAAACTTTAAGAAAGATGCCGACTAAGGGAAAGTAAAAAAAGATGAGATGAGAAGTTCCCCAGGAACAAATTGGGAAAAATAAGGTTAGAGAGAGGAGAATTTCACTTTGGTACACTTCACTGAATACAGAAAAACATTTATATCATTTTCCAGGAATTTGGTTAAGATTTACATAACAATGTTTTTTAATGTTGGAGCTGAATTTCCATTGAATATATTACTGTGGTGAAAAGGGCATCATGAGGAAGTATACACTCAAGTTTTATCTTAATTAGAGGCTGTTTGTCTGCTTATTCTTTGCGATGTTGAGAGGGCCTCATCTTGGTCTACTATGGGACTGGTTAAATCAAGAGACCTCAAAGCCTTTGCGATGTTTCTCCATCTTCACAACATTCATCACTTTCTAAGCAACTGCGAGAGAAGTACTTACTAAGAGTGTACTGGATGGAGCAGGGTTTGTTAGTGAATGTGTAGTAGAGATGATAATAGAAGTGAAAAGAAAGGCATAATGGAGAAGAGTCCAGGCATCTAATGAAGGCACATTAAAACAGTTATTTAGGTAACTTTTCTGGTGAGGAGGAGAAGCAATAATTTTAGATTATTTTCTTCTGTTGCATACTTCAGGTAGATAGCAATGACTCCACTGGAATTAAAAGGGACGAAAATATAGGCAGATGGAAGAAAGGAAGCCAAAATGCCCCAATCTGTGGTCTATTTTGCAAGTTAAGACCTGGCAGAGGCAAATAAGGATGTGCAATTGAAGTAAGGGATAAGCTTAGGTTATCCACGAGTCTGACTTATACCTCAATCACCAGGAATTCAAAGAATTGAAAATAGGACAGTAGTGGGGAAGAAACAAGCTGGAAATTGACTAATTGAAGAAACAATGGGGCCTGGGAATTTGATTTTTAAAAAATTAACTGGTGGAGGCTGGATGATGTGATGCTCACCTGCAATCTCAGTAACTTAAAAGGAGGTGGGAGAGTGGCATGTTCACAGCCATCCTGGGCAATATAAGGAAGCCCTGTTTCAAAATTTAATATACAGGGATTGTAGTTCAATAAGGCCTAAGTTCAACCCTCACTATAGAGGAAAAAAATTAACTCACAGATTCATGTGTGGTTTTGATGCAAGTTGTTTGTGTAGATTGTCTCCTAATTGTACAATCAGTTAGTCTGAAGAAACTGGCCTTTTTGTTTCCCTAATGGAAGAAGTTTTCAAGTTCAGATTTTGCTCTTTTTGAACAATTAGGCTTAGCATATGGTCACTCATGGTTAGAATTTGTAGTGAATCTTTTTCTTCTGCTGTGTGTCTTTGTGTTGGGCACTGGGGGAAGGGCTTCCCTCACACTTTCTGTTTTTCTCACTCAGCTTAGCAGGGTGCCTTTCCTTATCTGTACAGGCATTGTCCTCCCTAGGTCTGTTTGGGGTTCACATTTTTTGAGAGTACACATATCCTATTCTAGTTGGACCTTTGTGAATGACTTAGCACCTCAGCTGTGTACTTTATAGAACTTACCCTCCAGGAACCCTGGGGCGATAGGTAGGGAGAAAGACAAAATTTCTGTAGAAAGGCAACATTTTCAAACAACACAATCATCAGAGAGACACAAGTAGTGCCAGAGGTTTACTACTTTAATGATTTGAAAAGAGTGATGGGAAAGAATGTTTGGTTGTGGTACTCCAGTTTCTAGCAGAGCAATGTAGAAGCATGTCACTGAAGATGAGCAGACGTTTTAAAGCCAGATCCTTGTCTGAGATGGAAACCAGCTGCTAATTAAGAAGAGAGAGAAGGAGAAAAGCACGGTCCTGGTGCTGCCTCCCCACAGCGGAGTGTTGCTGCATCCAGGTGCATGGTGAACTGACAAGGCTTGTCTGAGGATTCTAATGGGGATACTTCTTGCTGTTTCTCTTGGACAGTCTTACTTTTGCTTGGACTTCTGGCACTGCTGAGGGAGTGGAGACTTCTGCTGGCACTTGGGTGGAAGCTGGCAAGGCTGGTTCATCCACTGAGCTGGAGGGAACCCTCTTACGTTGAGTGATCTTTTGCTGGAGTGCTGTCAGCATTGTTTTGGTGGGGGACAACATTGTTTTGGTGGGGGACAACATTGTTTTGGTGGAGGACAGCACTGCTTTGGTGGGGGACAGCACTGCTTTGGTGGGGGACAGTACTGCTTTGGTGGGGGACAGTACTGCTTTGGTGGGGGACAGTACTGCTTTGGTGGAGGACAGCATTGCTTTGGTGGAGGACAGTACTGCTTTGGTGGGGGACAGTACTGCTTTGGTGAGGGATAGTACTGTTGGGGTAGAGTATAGTACTGCATTGGTGGAGGGCAGTACTGCTTTGGTGGGGGACAGTACTGCTTTGGTGAGGGATAGTACTGTTGCGGTAGAGTACAGTACTGCTTTGGTGGAAGACAGTATTGTTGGCGTGGGAGGCAGCACTGCTGGGGTGGAGGACAGCACTGCTCCTGTCTCTGCTGAAACATTCTGGATTAGCTCTGCAAAAATCAGAAAGACACAGAAGTGAGGAGTGCTCAAGCCTCAGGGAAATCCTGAGTAAACCTATAGGCATACTCACATGCTGCGCTCCTTTGCCTTGACCTGATGCCTCCCCAAATTTAATCTCTCTCTCTCTCTCTCTCTCTCTCTCTCTCTCTCTCTCTCTCTCTGTCTCTCTCTGTCTCTCTGTCTCTGTGTGTGTGTGTGTGTGTGTGTGTGTGTGTGTGTGTGTCTGTTTGCAAGCCATTCCAACTCCTCTTATAAGGAATTATAAATAAAGAAGTAAAAGAAGACATTATAGAGGGAAGAAAGGAGGAAGAGAGAAGGGAGGAAGAGGAGGGAAGAAGAAAGGAAAAAGGAAAGAAGAGAGAAAGGGAGGAAAATGGAAGAAAGAAAGGGAGAGGTGGACAGAGAGGAAGAAAATAATATATGTTTTAATATATATTCTATATGTATCTATCACCTATCTGTCTAGAAAGGGAGAGAGACAGAGAGAGAGAGAGAGAGAGAGAGAGAGAGAGAGAGAGAGAGAGAGCCTGAGTAAGTAGAAAAACCAACGAGAATTAGCAAAAGAGAAGTCATGTAACTTATAATTTTCAAAACCTGAGGTTTCTAAAACAGAATTTCTTGAGATCTGCATCATATCTATAGTGGTAAGAGCTACATATTTGTAGAAAATTACTTAACTTTTCCATAACTATCTCCCTTAGATTTGATATGTACATAAAAGATATGATTGTATCTATGGATACACACACACACACACACACACACACACACACACACACAACCTAGCATATAAGCACCATATAATGATTTCAATTTAGTATATACATTTACAAAATTTTAAAAAGAAGCATCATTTAAAAAAAAAGAAGAAGAAGAAGCATCTTAACTACTCTTGAAGTAGGGTGGCTAGAACAGTTTGTCTTCTGGTCCAGAGCAGGACCTCCCACTGTGCTGCAATTCTTGCCCCAGTGCTGTTCTCCCACGGCTTCCCATCCCTCCTCTCCCCAATGACTGCCATCTTTCTCCCTTCACCCTCTTTCTGCCACCAGTCCTTTTGCCCAGAACTGATGAATTATGTTCTTTCTATCAAATCCTTTAGCACCTGCAAGCTATGTCACATGTCAGCACAGTCCTCAGAACACTCTGTCAGGCCCTCTTCTGCCTCAAGATACCCTCCAATATCCTTCAGCCATATGTGGTAGAGGACCCAAGTTCTATGGGTCTCAAAAGATAAAGAAGAGACAGATGGAGGATTACTCTCCATCCTGCCCAGCCATCCAGAGCTCCTGCCCCAGCTCCCAGCTGCATAAGGGATTTGCCATGAGGGATTTTACCTTGCCAAACTTATTGTAGCTCACAGATCACTGAAGGATGGAGAGCCAAGCGATTTGAAAAGCTCTGAGCCAGGCCACATTTTATACATCTCAAGCCACTGCCCAAGGCCATGAGGTGGCCAGGAACTGGGGTGTTCTAATTAGTCCCTAGTCCAATATGATGCACCTGTGCTTCCTCACATTTTAGGTTTTACTCACTCGCAGGTTGGTCACTTCCCTCTTGCCATGGCCAGGCTTGGTGATGAGAATGTTTCACTCGGGCCCTCACTCTAAGTTCCTATCACTTTTCCACACCTGATCTCTTTGGTATTCTGAATACGTATGTCACTTTTGACTTAGAATCTTTGCATCTAGGATGGTCCCAAGCAAGCATTCAGGATAGTGGAGCTGTGAGTTGTGAGAGCACTATTTTGGGAAGTGCAGGCTAGCAGGTGCCAGTGGGTGCCCTAGGGGGCTTTAAGGGTATGGCCGAGGAAGTGAGTGGCTCTCTTGGAATCCCACTAATTTCAGTAAAGTCTGGACTTGGATTTAACCTGGGCTCAGAGATATACTTGGCCTACACTGGTAGGATGATAAAACAAAAACTAGTTTTTTTTCTCTATTGTTATTTACAGTCTTCTGTCTTACTTGCTATGAGGAAAACCATTAGGCTCGATTTGGAGAAGCTAGGTGGTAGCAGAACAGAGTACTGTTGTCTAAATCTGTGTAACTCACCTAGACTATAGAGTTTCCAGGGAAATGATTATCATAATGTAAAGGGATTGGGGGATGCAGGAAGCAATGCACTAGACTCTAGTGAATAGAGTAAGCTCTTGTAAGACTCAGGTTGTAGGGCCCTGGAATCCATGATCCAAAGCCCTCCAACCCTCCTCCCCACCACAACTCCAGGCTTCCTTCTCACTGCTGTTAGATATCCCAGGACAAAGATGGATGCACAGGGCACAGTCTTGAATACAGTCATGTCTGACAAAAGATGAGTAGTGTCGGGGTAGGGTTCAGTTTGGTAACTCTGGACACTTCAGTGTATTTTAGGTTTTGCTTCCTCATTTTTTGGTGACGATGATAATAGCATTCTCTATGTAACTAGTAAGCATTAAAAAAAGACAATTTATGTAAATTATATGCAAATGTTTAGCACCAAATGAGTGTTCAAAATTTTTTGGTTGCTTGAAGAACTGGTTTCAGAACACCAGCTTGGACATTTTCTTAGAAGTATAGACTAGGTAGTTGCAAAGTTTGTAAGTACCTCTCATACAGCATCATAAGATCTTGATTGAAATAGGAGGAATATAATTTAAGAGATCTGTTTAAATCATGATGACTACACTTAACAAATGTACTGAACATTGCTACAGATATTTATAAGTGTTCTTACCACACAAAAATAAATGTATGTGTCACAGGACACTATTTCAACAAGCTTAATTTAAAGCTCAACTGGATTTCATTTGTGATTCCAGAATTAAGCAATACTTTATGCTGTAAGACCAACAGGCATTCCAATGAGTTCAGCAGAGGATGTTGGTTTTAGAAAAGAAAAGGTTAAGGAAGAAAGAAACAACAAACAAGCAAATGAGTTGGTTACTTGAAAATTATTTTTCTTATAAAGATTAAATCAGAGGGGACTACCTTCCACACTAGCCTTCATAAGCTTCTTTTGGGATTTATTCTTTCTTTGTCTCCCTCCTTGGCATGTAGAACGTCAGACAAAACATGTAGTTTCACTGTGATGACAACAAACTTTAGCAAGAGAGACTCTCCTTTGGTATGATCGGTTAGATCTAATGCAGTAGCTCAGTCTAAACCAAAGACTTCTTATAAGTTTTATCCAATATATATGAGGCAATGCCTGTTAAATAGTTTGATTAACCCTCCATGCTTGTAATTTTACATGCTTACATATATCAAAATATGATACTGTGCTTCATAAATATATAGTTATTACTTGTCAATTAAAAATATATTAAGGGAAAATGACCTTGAGAGAGAAATAGACATAGGCAAGCCACAGAACATTTTTCACTGTAGGCATATAATTTAGTCAATGCTCTATCCAAAGTCAAAGAGTTATCCAAGAATTTGGGAACTCATGTTGAAACATCAGAAGACTCAGGCATGGACACAAAAGTCTCTCCATTAAACCTGTGTTCAAACTACCTGTAATCCCAAGATGTGCATGTCTAGGAACTAAGACATACCCAGTGGAATCCAGGTTGTCTTAGAAGGAGTCTTCTAACATGGTAGCACTTGGACAGAAGCAGCCCTAGGGGCTGGGGGTTTAGCTCAGCGGCATAAGCGCCTGCCTTGAAAGCAGGCAGTCGTGAGTTTGATCCCCGGTACCGATAAAAAGGAAAAAGACAAAAAAAAAAAAAAAAAAAAATAAGCAGCCCTAGCAAATATTACAAAGAGACATCAAATAAGGTCCCCGATAACAGAGAGGAAGACTGCATACTGAGACCATTTATTCATCAAATTTTGCTGCACTTATACAATGTGCCATGTTCCCTGCCTGTACTAGGGATTCAGGGGAACAAGAATGACTGGGCTCTTGCTGTTTCCAAGGCAACCATAATACGTGATCCCTAATAGGCGGTTCTACCTCTATGAACTGGCCTGGGTCAAGGGACAAGTATAAACAGCTTTCTACTTCGAAGCCTTGTGGCTATTTTTCAATTGTTGAATTTGGGTTAGGCAAGTGTCACAGCAGTGTGGTCTGTGCAGTGGAGAAAGCGTGAACACCTATTAATTTGTGGTTTGGGTGTTATCTTGTAAATCTTTACTTGTATAACCATCAACCACTCAGAACAGACTATAGTGGAGTCAGCTACCTCAGGAATGCATGATGTAATACTGTATCCATGTAATACAGAAAAAGGATAACCTAAAAGCCACTAATGAAACCTGATTTGGGAATGGTGTTATCCATTGGCCTTGGTTAGCATGACTCTCTGTCAATCATTAGCTCCAATTTCTCTCTCTCTCTCTCTCTCTCTCTCTCTCTCTCTCTCTCACACACACACACACACACACTCATACGGAGTCTTTCTCACACTATTCTATGTTTTCAAGGAGTCATAACACTGGCACTCAGCTAAGATGATGGTGCTTTCTCCTACCAACTTTCATAATATTTGCATATAAATATTACATAAGCTAGGTCCATATCTACCAAATAATGACTCCTCACTTCTGCATAACTCCCACATGATTAAATTTCATGTGACACTTGACAATATCATTCTCATTTGTTTCCCTTGGGGTTCATTTATCTCATCCTTCTCTCATTTTCGTAAATATGAACATGACTATGGAAAGTAATGGAATGAGCAGTGAGGGATTTTTTTTATTTAAAGAAAGAAACAAACAAAATGAGAAGAAGGGTAGAATAATACAGAATTCAACAAAAAAATTAACACTAAGGAATTGCTAGTTGATATATTACATACTTTCATCTTATAAATAGTTATTCAAGTTTCAAAATCAAAGCATAAAAAGTGGATAGACACTCAAACATTGGCAGTGCAAACCATTCTATTCAATGATCCTACAAAAATTTAGTAATATGGTCATCTGTCTTACACACTTATATAATATAGTTATATCTTTTAGAGCACTTTCCTTCCCTTTCAGTTTTACAATATCTGTTCTACATTTTG